AGATACAAACAGAGATGAATAAGAACTGGTCCCTGCCTTAGAGGACTCGCATTCTACTGAGAGAATCAGATGTTGGGGTCAAGAAAGACAAATGACAGTTGGCCAGATACACATGGCAGGGCGCGACAAACACTGTGCAACAGTACTGAGGCCAAATAAGGTGCGTGCACAGGAGGCCTGAGTCTTGAGAGATAAGAAGAGGCCCAAGATCACATAAATGTTAAGTGTCAGAGTTGGGATTCACTCTAGGCCTTACTTAAAGTCAATGTCTGTTAACCTGATAGTATATTTTCAACCACATTTTGCTATAGTCTGCCTCTTCAAAATAGAAGAAGGTAGCTGGCTAGGATCCAGCCTTCCAGTGACTTCTGCCCAGAGAAATCCACAGCCAGCAGCATGCAAAGATTCAGAATGTTACTGTTCTCTCTCAAGCACTTGAGGTCTATAAAAATAAAAACTCAAACTTTGTGACAGCATGTGAAAGAAAACCGTACTTTATTTATAAAGGCAATGAGACATTTAATGAATGAATATCTGTTTTTTTGTCCCCTTATTTTACATTAAATATTTTATACCCTTAATACTTAGGTAATAGTACAGGTCACTATGTGATTTTAAAAATGCCTATTACGCCGAAACCGGTTTGGCTCAGTGGATGGAGCGTCGGCCTGCGGACTGGAAGGTCCCGGGTTCGATTCCGGTCAGGGGCATGTGCCTGGGTTGCGGGCACATCCCCAGTGGGAGATGTGCAGGAGGCAGCTGATCGATGTTTCTCTCTCATCGATGTTTCTAGCTCTCTGTCTCTCTCCCTTCCTCTCTGTAAAAAATCAATAAAATATATTTAAAAAAAAAAGCCTATTACTAGGTAAGGGCAGTAAACTATAAGAGGATAAGATACCCTTGATCTAGCAATGGTCAGGATGAACCAAATACCAATTGGTTCCTAACAAAAGACAGAGATATTTCCTACTGTTAAAAACACAGAAGTTATGATTTTGATCTGAAGCACAAGTTTTGATTTTCACTCATTCATTCCCTAGTCAGCTCTGGGTATTGAATATGTATGCAGCTCTATGATTAAGGCCTCAGAGAAGAAAGACAACGACCCTGGTCTCAAGAATACTGCATTTTGGTGAGTCATAGCTACATTTCCTTGAGTACACTTACTCAAAAGAAATTGTTGGATTTTTCCCTGACTATAAGAGAACTTCTCTGAAAATAGATGACTCAGTCATACAAAATGATGAGTCTGGTGTACTACTGGGGAGCCTATGACAATGGTAACTTTCAATGAAATAATTGGAGTGAAAGTGACACTGTGAGTTAGGTGTTTCCTCTGGCTCATTAGAGGATCGTGCCAAAGAAGGCTGGGCTGAAGTTCGCTTTCATTCATTTTGTGTGTCTTTCAGGGCTTTCTTCCCCAGTTATTTTCCAAGCTTTAAAGTGTTTCCTACTATTTTAACCAAATGTGCGTGGTGATGGAAAGGACGTGATATTTTCAGCAGAATGGCTTAATTAGGTTTAAGTAAGCAGTACCTGCCAAGGAGGGTAGGTTTGCTTCTAGCCATAAAATGGTGCGGGGCGATGTGTGCTGTGTTCCTGAGGAGGAAAGCAAGTGATGGATGTGCTGGTAAAACGACGAAGGGAAGGATGAAGCCTGAGAGATAAAAGTCTCCAAAGGGAAATAAAGTAGGAGAGCAGCTGCCCCCATCTTAACTGAAGCATAAATTCTGGAACAGGAGCTGAGGTTTCATTTCAAGCACATGGTGGGAGAGAATTTAGCATGTGTTTCTGTGTGTTTGTATACCCGTGTGTGTACTGGAAAACACGTAAGGCGAATTATTTTCATCCTCTGCATGAAGAGTTTTCAAAGTATTTCTAAAAAAGGAAATGTTGCAAATGCAGATTTTTTTTTTTTACTAATTATTCCTGAGAGACATTCATTTAGTCAGCATTTGGTGGAGATGCACAGGATCAGGGATGGGCAGGAACTGTCCACTGCTGATCCAGCAGATGAGAAACACACAACATTACTACCCTCACAGAACTGAATGCTCTTAGTTCATCTTTTCTCCCTGCAACCACTGCCTTTCCCACACCCCCACCGCCTGCCGGAATCATTTTCTTACAGATTCCATGAGGCTTTTCATGATGGAATCAGCTGCCTCAACTATGTTTTCAAGATTTTGTTCTCAGGAGACCTCAGAATGAGATTAGTTGCACGGGTGAGAACATTCACTGCTCTCTGCAAAGAGGAAGGGCCACCCCGCATACACAGGTGCTACTTAAATGTTTTTATGAACCACCTTGGGGACTGCATATCCCATTACACGGGGCATGCTATTATCAGCAGAGCTTTGAAAAATCTCACATTTTTACCTGTCTTTATTCCTCTTATGTACACGCCTGTATATAATATAATCCTGAGGTGGGCAAACCTTTGCTTTAAAATGCTTTAAGAAGAAAAAAAATGCCTTTAAGCGAAGGAACATTGCACACTTTTATGGCTTTGTTATAAACTTCTGAGAAACAGAATTGGGAAATCTTGAGGATTTTTACTTTATGGAAAATCTAACATGCATCACCATAAAAAAATGCACCTGTCATTCTTACAACAAAGAACAAAAATGAATGCAAAACTAATATAAAGTTGGAAGACATAAATTTTCTATTCGTTTTATAAGAAAATATATGAAGTCACATATACTTAACTAGGGAAATACATCAATTTACTTTAGTGCCTTTTATGTGCAGAGGGCCCTTCTCAGTCCTGTGTTTTCATCCAGGACCGTGGGACTGACTATATCTGTGCTCCTAATTGACAGTTTGCTCTTCGAAAGGCTGTATGGAGAAAAGGGAAGCTGTGTTCCCTAATACTGGGGCCAAGAATACCTGTACATTCTTGTCTACATTGATGACTTATCCAGATTCTTTAGAAAGATGATTTTTCTACAGAATAAAAATACATATCTGACAAACAGAGGAGAGCATTTTGTGATGATATTAATAAACAGAAATAATTGTATTATCACACAATTATTTACCTTCACAATAGATTTAATTTTCTCCCTTCTCCCCTTTTTCTTTCTGTCTATGTATGGAGTTTTAGCATGGGACCCAGTGTTCTTCAAAATACTGAAATAAACATCAGGCTGACGTTGTTTTGGATTCAGTGAATCAGTCTTAAAAGCTTAGTGATATGGAAGTCTCCCATGAAGCATTCTTGCTATAATCATTTGCTAGATGCTAATGCTATGAAGCATGCAACCGGATTGAGTTTTAGCCCACAAATGTGCCCTGCATATCAATGTCCCTTTTATTGGCAGGTTGGCAGAACTCTTCTAAATGTGCGTAACCCACCTTGCCACTCAACAGGACCAACAATAATCTACCAGTTCAACTCATTTCTGCCATGATCTGTGCTATTTCCAACAAATTTGAATATTGTGACTACTGGAGTTTTGTGCTAGTATTCTCATGAGAAGTAATTTTATAGACAGGTAAGTCTTTAGGGGATTGGGAAGTGATATTTACTAAACTTTAGAAAAACCAATTATTTTCAAATACTTTAGAAGCAAGCTCACATCTATATCCAAATGATTATTGTAGGCTATAACTTATGGACTGAGTTCCATTTAGTTTATTTTCAGAAAGTAAGAAAATTATAGTCATAAAAAAACACTTTAAAAGTCAAGTGGCCCAGAATAATCTTCCTTTATTTTTTCTAAATTAATGCATTTTACTTATATTTTTTGTGTCTATAGTTGATATTAAAATAAACTCTTGCTTTTGAATGCATAAAATTCAAATAAGCTGTAAAATATTTAATGGTCTTAAGGTCAGAGAACAAGAATAACTGTGGTTTCCTCAGGTAATTGTTAATCACAAAGTTAAATTATATCATGGAGGAGGAAGAGAGTTAAAGAAAAAGATAAGAGGATCTGATCAAACTATGGTTAATAGTTACGAATTGTTTATAGAACATAATAGACAAAAGTAGAAAAGAGTACCTAAATTTTAAATTCTACAAGCCACAATAACAATAGAGTATGTCATTGTATCACCATTTTTAATCATGCTTAGATGAACAATTTAGAATGATAAATACTTTCAAAGAAATAAAAGGCAGAATAATACTATAATCTTCTAAACTGGAGTAACCTTGAAGTGATTTATAAGATCATATGCTATGAACTGATACATTTCTATAATGTAAATATTTAATGGCAACACATTCTCTACTGCACCTTCAAAAGTACAAGTGTTTATTCCATTGTGGTTCAGAGTAGTGGGTTAAAGAGGAAGTCTCTTTAGCTTGCAATTTTGGGCTATTGCATTAAACTAGCATCCATAGCATTCTTGTGCCTGCTTTACACATATACGAAAAGAACTGCTCTTTCCGCTTGAGAAAAAGGACTCAATTATTACTATATATATTCTCCTGAATCCAAGGGATCAGCAGTCTTTAACAACCCATTCAGTGGACTTAGAAAAAAAAATGCAAAAGCTATAAGTTATTCAATACAGCTTGGCAGCACACAAAAGCCCTTAGAGAAATAGTTCTCAACCTTCCTAATGCCGCAACCCTTTAATACGAAAAAAAGTGCAAAAGCTATAAGTTATTCAATACAGCTTGGATGCACACAAAAGCCCTTAGAGAAATGGTTCTCAACCTTCCTAGTTCCTCATGTTGTGGTGACCCCCAACCATAAAATCATTTTCGTTGCTACTTCATAACTGTAATTTTGCTACTGTTATAAATCGTAATGTAAATATCTGATATGCAGGATGTATTTTCATTGTTACAAATTGAACATAATTAAAGCATAGTGATTAATCACAAAAACAATATGTAATTATACATGTGTTTTCTGATGGTCTTAGGCGACCCCTGTGAAAGGGTCCTTTGACCCCCAAAAAGGTCACGACCCACAGGTTGAGAACCGCTGCCTTAGAGCAAGTGATAAAGGATCAGATGTTGCTCTCAAATCTTACCTGGTTTACTCTTCTTAAAAATCCAACCCTTGCTGTCTACCATGCAGATCTGTTGGCCACTGGGTGAAATCCAGACTGAGTAGTTGATCATGATAACTCCAACATGTCATGGACAGCAGCGTCTCTCGGATTCCCACAAGCCAACTGCTTGAAACAAACCTGCAACAAACAAGGTATTCCTTCATTTTAATGGAAAAATAGTGAACCATGCCCTAGGTCCAGAAGGCATCACTACTTAATCAATAAAGGAATAGTAAAGAAATGTGTGAGGGGCCATAAAGGCCTCTGAAGATGCTGATAAACATTAAAGCCAGAAGGCTGAAGTTTATTTCCCATAAAAGGCGCTTTCTGTCCGGCACATGCTCCTCTTCGTGTGATTATGGCTCTACTTGAGCTCTCAGTATACATAAACATTATTGATATTAAAGATCACACATTTTATAGTGTGTACCCTTTCTCCTTCCTGTAGGTGACCACTAGGAGCACTCAGAGTATTTTTGACTCTATTCATAATCATCTCAGGGTACCTAGGCAATGAGGTTCAACAGGGCAAAACCCAGAGGAAAATTAGAACCGTGGTCGGCAAACTGCGGCTGGCGAGCCACATGCGGCTCTTTGGCCCCTTCAGTGTGGCCACGAAGTTTCAATCGCACTGTGCGTGCGCGCCCGCACGTGGTATTTTGTGGAAGAGCCACGCTCAAGGGGCCGCAGTTTGCCGACACTGATCTAGAAGAAAATCCATAGGAAGGTCTAGATCCAGGGCAGTTTCCTTAGTGAGCTCTGACACTGCAGTCAATGTCAACATTCCCGGTATAAAGATTGCAATGTCTCTGAAGGAGACAGGGCCTGAGGAACTCCTTTGGGGGCCACATGTGAGGTGCTGCAAACTCGGCAGCAACCGTGATCTATATCAAAACACAGACTATGAGACTGTGACCGACGTGAGCATGTTGTAGCCTGAGTCTGGACACAAGAGCCCAGGAAAGTAATTAGATAATTAATTTTGGTGCAACCTACCAGATATTTAGTTGTTCAACTATTTATGTTCATATGAGTAAATATGGTGTTTAACCTTCCTAAGCATTTTTAACTTCCATTCAAGGAGAAAAACGCCATGCACCATTCACAGCTCTTAATTGCACTCATACCTGCCACACAAATAATTCTGTTCAATGGAAGTTTAGAAAGATACTAATGAACAGATTTGCTTCTTGGTCCTTGTAGGATAACCTTTAATAACTATTAGAATTTTTTAGCTAATACAACTATATTTAGTTCTACATATACAAACATTTATTGTTATTATTTTCTAAGTAGTGGCTGAGAGCTTGTGCTGAGTCTGCACGTGAGTGGCTGTGCTGTAGATTCATGGGCACAGGTGCAAAGACAGATTCTAACAAGCCACAAACTGATATATCCTCATGCACCTGTGACTAGAGACTCACGTATTCCCAGGGGTTATGTGGAGACTCGGTTAAAAGATACCACAGTAAGAGATCCTATTGTGCCACTGCAGCAAGAATAGCAAGGGCTGAAGTCCAGCACATACCTCAGACTAAAATGCAACACTACAAAATAAGTCCTTAAAAAAAAAAGACACGTATACTGGGACACAAAGTGACTATTCTGCAATTCAAAACAGGAGTGTCATTTTGGTGTTATTACTGACACACATAAATACACACACACACACACACACACACACACACACACATAATTTTCTAATTTATTGATCCAATTTCCAGAAGTTGACTAAAGTTTAGTTTAACAAGTACAAGATTTCTTTGTACAGCAAAAGAAATCCTGTATTTGTTAAACTAAACTTTAGTCAACTTCTGGATGCAAAATGTTCTTTTTCATGCCAAAAAACTACTTCTTTTCTTCATTAAGGATATTCTGAAAGGTATCAAATCAATCCCTTTATAAAACAAATATGTTTCCATGAGTGGTAACACTTTTGGTCTCTTTGCTACCATGCAGGATATTTTAAGAAGTCATACATTGGTCAATCAAATGATATTGAAGTGTTTATAAACATAATCTCCAAGCTACCAAACTTACTATAAAGTGAGGAATTTTTTAAAGCTACTTGCTTTGGAAGCACCCATTCTATTGCATTGGTTTGAAATTTTATTCTAATAACAATTTTCAGAACAAAAAATACTTAAAATAATTTTTTCAGTTTCTTCTCAAATATACTAGCAATCAAACAAAACATGCAGAAAATTCTTTTTGAAATACTCATAGAATATTAAGTGATTTTCACTAAAATCAATGTGGTTTTGAAATGGTTTCATTTTCTTCTATTTTCTCATCTTATATTTTCTGAGTCTCTCCTTAATACTGGATGACTAGTTTAAAATCAAGATCTTGTAATATAGAAACCCACACATGAAACCTATATGTTCATGTTGACCAATGTAACCCAATCAATTTAATAAATAAAATTTTAAAAATGCAAAATAAATGCTATTCTTATTTTTGAGAGATGTGTATTCTTTTAAAAATAAATGTTCAATAAATGCATTTGATTGTATGTAAGTTATACTTCAATAATTTTAATTTAAAATTTTTAATAAATTTTTGACAATATTCAAAGTGATTCTAGATGGGGCAAGTTATTCAGAACCTATTGATAAAACACTGTTGTATACGAATTTTAAACAAAACACGACCAAAATAAAAACTGATAAAAGGAGAAGAAATTCAAACATTCACAAACTGTTTTTTGTTTCTTTGTCTGGCCTTAAGTGCTCTGTAATTGAGTTATGGCCTTATTTGCCTTCCTTTATGCACACTGCTACTATCCTTTTAGTTATCTTGGTGCTTTGAAAAAGCTTTACAAAGGGTCCCCTCAGCACTTAGGCATTCATTTCATAGGTTATTGATTTGTCCTTGTTGATATGTTGTTCTTTAAACTGTATCTGGGGCATGTGCTTCATCTTCCCCCTGGAGGCATGTTGCATAACCCTCTGGGTAGCTGATGTCACTGGGACTGCTCAACATCCTGTGAGCTCAGTGCATTTGTTAAATGACTGGTTGGTATATTTTGCAAGCTTTGTATCTAACTCACTCATTTGCCTGTATATATGTCAAAAATGTAAACATTAACAATGTAGTAATAGGTAGGTTATCAATGAGGCTTTCTGTCTTAGAAATTTCATATCTGTCCCCTTGTATCAGTGACTAGAGGCCCAGTGCACGAATTCATGCATGGGTGGGGTCCCTCTGGGTGGCCTGCAAGGATCGGGCTGAAACCCGTAGTCCAACGCCGCCTGCAGCTCCTACCTGCCGCTCCCGCTCATCCCAGCCCCACTGTGCCTGCCTTGGGCTCACGCCCAATGAGTCCCAATTGGGAGAGGCTCGCACTGCCGTAGCAGAGCTCACCAGCCATGAGCCCTGCATCTGGCACCCTCCCAAGCAGAGTGGCCTGCAGGATCAGGCTGAAACTGGCTCTCTGACATCCCCTGAGGGGTCCCGGATTGTAAGAAGGTGCAGGCCAGGCTGAGGGACCCCACCAGTGCATGATTGGGCCAGGGAGGGACCACAGGAGGGCTCCAGGGCATGTACGGCCCATCCTGCTCAGTCCTGATCAGCCGGACCCCAGCAGCAAGCTAACCTACTGGTTGGAGCATCTGCCCCCTGGTGATCAGTGCACATCATAGCTACTGGCGGCCAGTTGACGTCTGCCTCCTGCTGGTCAGTGCACGTCATAGCGAGCGGTTGAGCATCCTTAGCATATCATTAGCATATTACACTTTGATTGGTTGGTTGGTTGTTCTGCCATTTGGTCTATTTGCATATTACCCTTTTATTATATAGGATATTGGAAAAGGGAAGGTGCCACCATTTTTCAGTCACAAAATGATCACTTCTAAATTCCTATTTTTCTTCAATTAATCAGACATAAAAGTCATAGGTTATTTCCCAGCAGGCCAGGGTCATCAACAAAAATTGATGTTACCTCTATGTGGCAGTTGCTATCTATTTTATATATAATTTCTCATTTAATTTTCTCAAAAAACATGAAAAGTATGTATTTTTAATAATTTCCATTGTATAGTAATGAAAATAGGATCAGAGAGTTTAAGTTACTTGCCCAAGGGCATTCTGCCTTTGGATAATGGGACTGGGACATGTGTGTAATTAATTGATAGTGTGGTACTGTTAATTAATTCTAAGTTCTTACAAATTGAATTTGAGCCCTTTGGTCAACCTACAGATGAAAATCTGAATCTCAGGAAAATTAGGTAACTTACTAGAGGTATTAAGATCATGGTAGGGTCTGGATGAGTACCTTACCCATGATGCTTTTTTCTTCCACACCACTCTCTTACCCAGCTTACTTGGAGTGGTATGTCTAAACAACTATAGATTTCCAATTCACTTGATTTTAAAGAACCATGTTTTGGGTAGTTTTATTTTAAAAGGAGATACCAAAGCCAACAAACAAAATAACAGAGGATTTCTGAGTAATCAATTTTAAATGAGCTTAATTTTCTGAAAGCAACAGATGGCATCTTTCTAACTTATAAGCTATTTTTCCAATAAGAAAACATAGACCAACACAAAAAGAGACTGTGTGCATAGATAGTGACAAAGCCTATGATTAGATTAAAATATAAATAGTGCATTGGTGTTTTGCTGATGCTCCATTATTAGCAATTGCAAACTTGAAATAATCTTCCAAAATATTCATTTAACATTTTTAGTTCAGAAAACCAGCAGAAGACTCCTTAAGTGACACAAAACAAAATCGGGGCAATTCTATCAATATTTGAGAACCCACAGTCTGATACTCAAATGATTCTCCTTTTTTCCATCTTTGTTCAAATATGCCAAATTCTGATTTTGATTATGTTCTAGAAACTTTGTCAATTAAAATAGGCCATATCCCCATTTGCATTTTCTTAAAATGAGGGGAATACAATTAGTCATGTTCCCAGATTTTCTACAAAAGAAACTAGTCTCACATCCTTTTTCCTTCCTTTCCTGTTTTATCCATTCTCCTTTTATTTTCTTTTTCTTTCCTCCATTATATTCTTCCATTGTCTTCTCTTCCTTCCTTATTTCCATCCTTCCTTCATCTCTTCTTTTTCTTCATTTTTGCCTTTTCATTTTAACAAACCTTTAAATGTCTATTAAGTTCCATATAATGT